AGAGCCCAGTGGCCTTTCTGCCACAAGGCAGCATTCCCATTGTAACTTAGACTCCAGCACAACCCGCATTGGCTAGCTTTTTAACACGCACTAAGTGTCACAAAAGAATGGAAATTATTTTTTGTTGTTAGAGAATAATGAGAAAAAAAACTTAAAAAGAAAGAATAATTTCACAAGTAAGACTAAGGGTGTACTTCTAGCAATTACAGGGGGCTTTTCAATCAGCAACTGCTTATTACCAAGTGTTGTGGTAATCAGGACAACTTCATAGACTAGGACTGCCCTGCCTCAGCCAGCTGTCCAGAAGGCAAATCTAAAGTGCAGCATCTTCCCCAAAGAGATGGAGGGAACTGAAGGACCCTCTTCCTCCATACCATGCAACTTTCCTCATCAGTCGAAACGAGGGCTTCAATTCTGCATGACAGAAACACTTCTGCAGAGAAGCAGTACACCTGGAGAAGAGCCCTAAGCAGCGGGATGAGGCTGCCAGCCAAAAGTAAACCACTAACAATTGCTACTTCTTGTTTTTCCTTTGCTCTACCTTCTTCAGCCACTTTCTGCTTCTCACAGCTTTCTTGAGTACTGGCTTTAAACTCTTAAAATCACATTGTGCCTATTTTAACTTTGAAATAGTGCCCAGAGCATGTTTTAGGTGCTACATGTAATTTTAGAAAATTATCTCAAATCTGTAGGAGTGAATTGAGGTAATATTCCGTGCCAAAACTGTAAGAGGAAGAACTCTTGAAAATGCTAAGGGGCTTGTCTGAATGGGGTAACAGACAGGGATTTTTTCCCCCGGACTTCCATCTGGAAGCTTGCAGAAAGACAGCAGAGTCCAATGTGAGGTTTGCAGGAGGTACACTGTGGCAGCCTTGCTGCTGCCAGCTTTTCCCCACAAGGCACCTTCGCCCACAGATGAACCACAGCAGCAAAAGGCACTTCATTATTGCTGCACTGAAGAGAAGGGAGGGAGGGTTTTAAACAACCAGTATTGTGCCCGTCTTCTTTAAAAACCAGCGGGGTAATCAAGTTCAGGGCAGCCCTGGACAGCTGCCCTGTGACCTATTCATGTTGACCCCCACTATTCATCACTTTCCTTAGGACTATGAGGGCAAGCTCCCGGGGAGTGACCACCACAATAGACAGATACGAGCCAACAATAATACGGTTCCTGCAAAAAAACCAGATGGCACTGCAATAAATTTACAAATCTGCATTCATGGCTCTGTTAAAAACACCCAGAAGCTAAAAGGCTGGAGGGGCCCCCAGAGAGTTTCCCCTTCCCAGTTTCTAAAGGCTGGCTCTCTCCCCAAGACTATTGAGCTCATGTTCTTCATAAATGAAGGATGGAGACATAGCCCTTAAAATAACAAATGGCTGACCTAATCAATCTAGTGTTTGGGTCTAACACTAAATGATAGGCACTGAAAACTAATTATGTTTTTTGGCAAGGAAGTTGAATTAAAATGGAAACACACAGGTTAAAAATGCACTGAAGCATTTGCGAGTCCCTTTGAAAGGGCAGCACACACACACACGCTCACATGCAGGGTTTGAAACAGGAACCTGATTCAATAACTCATGCATTTATTTTTAAAATGAATCAGATTAGTCCCATGTGTGACCTGCTGGTCCATCTGTATGAGCTGGACTTAATGGGCACTCTTCTCACGCTTACTTCAGTTTGAAGTATGAGAGAGATAAATTTAGTTTAATTTTCAACAGATCAAGCTATCCATTTTCCAAATGGACCATCTGGATCAGCCTATTAAAATTAATTTATAACTTTGCAGTGTGAAAATTCGTTTGTTAGCTTAAATAAAGTTGCCAAAAACTTTTGCCACTTGTCATTGTTTTTTTCTGATCTGTTTTCATACTATGATTTTCAGTTTATCCCTTCAAAATTTAATTTTGTCAGATCAAGCACTCAACAAAAACTGAATGTCTGCATCCATATTTCAAAGTCCATCACAGCTTAGATCTTTTCACTTTTCCAGCTAACAGCGTCAAGTTCATTGCCTTTTCTGTTTCCCAGTGCTAATCTCCATGTCTCTTCTGCCTTGCTGCCCCCACATGCACCCAACAGTGGCTGTGCCTTCTACTTCCAGCAATTCAAGGACAGCCCCACTTGTTGAGACTTCTGAAGACACCCTTCTCCATAAACCATTTTAATCAACAGCAAAATTATATTTCTCTTACTAAAGAGTTCCACAGCACTGAGCAACGGGTGTCTTCAGCCCCTGCACACAATTTCAGATGTGTAAGTATTACACCTCCTCAATGCCTCTACCTTCTGGTATGTCTGATCCACACACCCACCTGGGTAAACATTATGGGTAAGGCTGCATAACAGCACTGCAAACAAGGCAAGAAAAGTAAATGCACCTTTACTTAAACTTGTTAGCAGCTGAACAGGTCAAGACATAGTACTTACCCTGAAGTGGTCTGATGCATCTCATTAATTTTCTAAGACCAATCAAAAAGTACTAAATATGAGGATACATTCACTGGAAAGACCATTTAAATAAACAGGCTGCTCTTCTACCCACATACATTCAATTTCTCTGTTCATGTCGGTCCATGTTCCCCAATAATGAAATATTGAAGGATTCTTACAGGAGAAACGGAAAATATGAAACTGTTCACACAATATCTACCAGGTTAGCACCTTTCCACTAAAATGGAAGCCATTTTTTGAGCATTACTGCTTTGACAGCATTTGTGGGTCACATTCTTCTGGTTCTAAAAAGTATGGAAATATGTAAGACATAGCAGTCACTCTGCCTCTATAGGAGATCCAGATCTTTCCCCTAAGTATTACGCATTGACTGTGAGTATTTAGGCACATGGCTAAATATGTGTCTGACTTCTGGAACAAGAGCCAGAAAACTCCCCACTGCTCCTGTCCATTATGGCTAATAGAGACAAGGAGCAATCTTAGCTTTCAAAATGCTCAGACAGCTTTATGTCTATGTAAAGAACAAGAATTCCCTCCATAACAGGCAAAAAATCATGGACAACCACCTCCTACAATCTAGACAAGAGGGCACCTGCTTTAAGATTAAGACTACATCTTGAATTTATTTACAAAGACTGTTCTCAACACAAAGGCTCCAAATAGCAATAGAAGACCCAAGGATTTTGTCCTGCATCTGTCACTGTAAGGACTGGACACAAAGATGGAGACTGATACAATGTCTCAGCAATACTTTGCAACACAGCTAACCATCTTCAATGTAAACTACGTCCATTGAATTCTTTCCAATATGAAATCTTGGGACACTACAAGTGGTCTTCTAGTTGTACTCCTGGTTTATGTTGTATTCCTTGATTATGATGAATTGTGGGCCTGAGGGAAAAGACAGCTTTCTTGTGACACTAAGAATACTTTTACAGATTGAAGTATAACAAAATGGAAACCCAATTCAAGAAACTGTACCTTTCTCATCTGCATAATAAGGTTTGTAGGTATCTACTTTCTCAATCAGTAATCATGAGAAAGGACTCAGTGTGATGAAAAGACACACAAAATATATTACTCACTATCCTTTTTAATTAACGCCTCTTACTATGAATCTTCTTCTGGAGAAGAGTCATACACCTCTTCTTGCAGAACCTGAAGACTTGCCATGTATAATACAAGTAAGATAAAAATCCCCAGATTTTCTGGCATGCTGGGGACCTTGTTTCCTATCGTGGGGATACACAGTAGGGACCTAGTAGGTTTGTCCTCTTCCTCCAGCTCTTGTTTGCTGAATGCCAGAAACAGTTTAAGTTTCATCTAACATATTTAATCAGTTCTTCAAGGTAATCCTTTTCAGCTATAAATGGGACCTCACCTTAGGCCAGCATATTGCCTTATGTCTAAATGACTCCTATGGACTAAATCTGATAGATGGACCTGTCTTAGTCACATGTATGTAGTCCTCCATATGACACCTCCTCCCACAAAATTTAACACTCCTAAAACAATCCATTATTAAAAAAAAAATAAATCCCCAAACCAACCACGCAAAACCAACAACTCTGAGCACAAGTGCACTGTATCAAAAAGATACTTTTTCCTTAACTATGGTTCTGACCCACTACTTCTCCAGGAAATAGCTGATGTGGGGCAGGACTGTGCCATCTTATTCCTCTGCCTGAGACTTATGCTCCTGTGGCTGAGATGCAGAAGGAAACATAACAATTCCTCAGCTGCTGCAATGTGTGGCCTGGGGTATTCACTTAAGTGAATACCAATGGTTTCACTCTGATACTCCAGGCAGCAACCTCAGGCAGCTAAGGCATGGACATCATTTTGCTTCTGCTGCCTGAAGGTTGCAGTGCGGAGAAAGACCAAGGTGAAACTGGATCAGAAATCACTAAACCCAACTTGAATATCTCAGAAAGCATGTGCCAGACTCCCTTTGTTGGCCACAGGGATTAAATAAAGGAATTATTTTGAATTGGTAAAAAATCTGCTTTACTATATATAAAGGACAAAGAAATATTATTTTATTAGACCATCCTTTCTCCTTTTTACCCTTAAGTAATGTATATGAATGCAAAAGAAGTAAGAATAGGTCCTTTTTCAAGTTATTAACCTGGATATAATCTCCAAAAAAATTTACCTTCAAGGACAATAAGAAGTTTAATTGTTGTAGAACCTTTTGAGAGTCTTGATCTGAGGCAAGGCAAAATATACTACAAACAAGACAGGAACAATTACAGAAGAAAAGGCTGAAGAGGTCTTGATGAACACTAACTGGAGAAAGGTAAAGCTAGAGTCACAGTTGACTGAACTATACTGAAGCATACATTTCTTCAGAGTCATCAAACTCCCCTGAAAGCTAAATCTCTGTGTCTGATTTTCCTGGGTACAATGTAACTTGCTCAGACTTCAAAGAAGAAAAGAAAGTATTTCCATGAACATAAGCCAGACTTCAGCTTCTAGAAACATTTAAGGATTCAAATAGCTAGAAAGTTTTATCACATTTTTAAAGAGACTGATCACATACCTGTCTAAGTGAATTCTTCTCAGGAATGATCTTCCTAGGGGGCTCATCATTATTACAGTCTTCTCTCTCAGAGGAATTCTGTGAAAGAAAGTAAGCTTTAATTCAGTTCTTATCCCTAATATTATTCTGCGAGGAGAAAAGAAACAGAATATTTCTGCTACACAGGCTGTAGCATTTTACATATACACATACTGGAGGCTAAGTTGTACTTTTATGCCAAACAGCTTGTTATTGCAGAGAAAGAATTTCTCCTCCTCAACACAACAATGCACCGCTGTGCAGGTATCTATCTACTGAAGAAGCCTGTGCTTTAGGGATTTATTCTGAAACTACCAGTAACAGCCACTTTGAAAAGCTGAAATGGTGGTTGAATCAGAATGGCAACACTGGTGCTCCTGAACACCCCAGAATAACCTTTTAAAACAGTGGAGCCTGTTGAAAACAAGAGATTGTTAATGTGTGCAACTGTTCTCTGAGCCCCTATGTTTTCAGTCTGCCTAACAATTATTAATTGCACTCAGTCTGCTTGGCTGCCCAAAATCATAGATAAATTATGGTGGAGCCAAATTCTTGTAAAAGATGTCATCAGGAAATCCTTCCCAAAAGACCCCAAATATTGTGTACATAGTGTATGATAATATAGCTATGTTTTCCTCTCTTACCCCCTGACTCCACATACATGTACAGTTTCTAGAAAGACTGATTCTCCAAAATGCAAGCTGCCACCTCCAAAAAAAATCAGTAAGAGGAGAGAAGGTAGACAAGAAATACAAGGGCTTTTCCAGCATGAGGAAAAAATACAACCAGGAAACTTTTGTCCTGCTAATGTCATGATTAAAACCAAATATTGCTTGGTTTAAAGACAAACCAAGGGCATGAATAGTCTCTTGCAAATGTTTGGTTAAAAACTGCTGGATACAGTGGGGAGAATCCTGACCTCACTGCCAAAGTCAGCTACTCTGAAAGACAGTATTCCTTTGCACAGGTTCAGCTATGGCACTCAGGGAGAAATGACAGCCAGCTTTGGGGGAATCCCATACACACATCTAAAATCATTTTGATCACCACAGTATTCATAGCCTTAGGCCACATTCCCACACATTCAGTAGTGAGCAACTAAACAGGTTTTAAAGAGATACAGAAAAACTGCCTAGGGAGAGCTCTGCCAGGAAAAGGGTGGTTTTCCAGTTTCTTGCAGGCAAGCTGAGGACTGCATCTATTACAGCACAAGTTTGCACTGTACCTGTCCCCCAAATAACCTGTCCTTCACTGAGCATGGCTCTGCCTGGCTACTCACAGACAGCTTCCAGCCCAACACCTCAGGAGACAGAAGTGGCATCTGTTGGCAGAGGAGGAGCAGGGCCCTGCGAGCAGTGGCAGCACAGGGCCAGCAGCAGCACGGCAGCTGCAGGAAGCCTCAGCAGAGCAGAGTGTGTGCCCACTGCAGTGCTGCGTGATCCGGCACCAGCGGGGCGGCGCGAGCTCGCTGCTCTGGGCGAAGGGACAGCCAGCAGACAGGGCAGGGACAGAGGATGCTTGCTGAGAAATGGCTGAGAAGGGGTGGAGGGAGAGGAATACAACAGTAAAACCCCACTTGGGATGTCATAAACTGGTCAGGAGTAAATCGAGACTTCCAGACCAACTAGTGATTTTGAATTTTTTTTTTTTTTTTAAACAAGATACAGAACTTGTAAGGTACCATGACATTTGGGATGCTGTAACCAGGGTTTTATGATGGAAATCAATCCTAAACAGGGCTGATAAATCACTGTAAGAGGGCAGCTTTTTAAACTTTCTGTATGAGGTCACAGTCAGGACCAAGTTATTACATTAAATCCTGCTTTGAAAGAACTGTGATCATAAAAACACACAAGCTATCATTGCATATATACGAAAAGGAAGGTCAGGCATTAAAGCTGCTCTTTTCTGCTCATGAAATTTAGTTTAGTAAGTGGTTCATTGAAGTTAGGATTTTAATTTTTGTGCTTTGGGAAAAAAATAAAGGTCAAGAGTGAAAACTATAAGAACCTGAAGTGAGTTACTACAGACTTCCAGGAACACATTTTGTTGTGGCTGTAGGGTAAAGGGGTTGTTTTGTACTTCTGGATTCATTTTCAACACCCACCCCCTTCCCTACAGTAAGTATCAGAATTATTTTCCCTTCCAAATAATCTCTCTTAGACAGTGAAATCTTGCATTCTTCTCATCTTTCAAAGCCACTAAGGATCCTCCCTCACACAAACAACAAAAAGCAAGAACTGCTGGTGAACTGTTAGCCCTTATTTTGAAATTTCTAGTTACTGCAAAGCATCAAGTTATCTGTTTTTTCTTTAAGCTGAGCATCTAATTTTAAGAGCAAGCAGAGGACCATTTTGCATTCATTATCTTTATAGGTGGCAAGGCTAAGAGGTTGGCTGAACAAAGACCAGACAAAGACTGCCAAGTGCATATGGTGGTTCACAGCTTGGCGTCTCACCATTCTACAGCACCAACACAGCAGCTCCGATAGCAGACTATTAAAGAGGAGCGCTGCTCATGCACTTTTGTCGGCAAGTAAGTTACGCTCGGTGAAGACAGAATGACTGGAAAGCATTACACTTAAGAAAAAGCACAGATGTTTATAACTCCCGCTCATTTCTCAGGAAAAGGAAACCTATCAATCCAGGTGAAGGTACAGGACCCCGCGTATTTCAGGACTAACTGTAGCTGTATGGAAGTGAATTTCACTTGACAGGGCAACACAGACATGGCCAAGGGAAGAGCATAACGTAATCGACTGAAACGGTACATCTATATATTTCTCCTTGCTGAACAAGGTGGGAGGAGGGATAAACACGTGTGAGGTCAGAATAAGGTTTGTCTCAGCAGGACTCCAGCGATGCTCTCGGCCACAGGAGAGGCAGACAAAGGGAGGAACTGCTCTGAGCACCCTCTCGTGGTTACAGAAATGCACATCCTGGGCACAGACCTGGAAAGAAGCATTTGGTATCCAGACGGTAAGTTGGGTGTACTCACTGGGAATATTAAAGATCTGCAGCAACTGTACTTCATACATAGTAGGGAAACGATGGAATTCATTAGGGAGAAAGAAGCAAAGAAAAGTAGCACACATGGGAAGCTGAAAATCCGCACAAACTCCCTTCCACCAAAGAAAATTTTTACTTCCCACAGGCAAGCCTTCTTGACTAAAGCTGGGCTGGCTAAAAGTGTTTGTGCTTGCATGCAAGGGTCTCTTCTTTCAAACAAATAAAGGGAAGATTAGAGGCTAAAGTCTCCAAAGCAGCCCCTCTTTCTACAGACAAGTGAAAATTTTTTTTTACTTTTTTTTTTTGCCCAAGGTCACACAATGACAGGGGAAGTACTGAGAAGTCAGGAAACCCAAGCTCATAGTTCTTGTAACCTTGAAAATTTCTCACTAACAGGAGATTCCTGCAAAGGGGCTCTGCCTTCCATAGCTCATTTTTGCTAAAATGGCTACTGCCTATAATGAGATCCTTTTAAATCTGATTTGCATTTAAAACTTCAGCCTGTAATTAACAGAATATAACTCCATGGCAGGTTGTCTTAAAGACCACTACAAAATTATTACTATTTAACTCTCCCCATGAAGCCTCCTCCACCACTAAACACAACATGCTACAATGCATACAAAATCCCCAGACTGAAGCATTTGACAGGAGATGACATGCAGTATTTTGTGTACACAACCCCAGCAAAACACTGCTGGGAATGAGATATAATACATGGAGAAATGCACTCCCAGGGACTACCAATTGGGCAGAGCTACCTTTAGTACCGCCTCACTCATGGTGGAAATCAAACCCCTGCCAACTGGGGGAGGCTCTCTTTGATGCTGTTCTGCCCTGCACTAATTATAAAAGAGTACAGACACAGCCTTTTTTCCAAGTGCGTGGAGGTGGGGGTGGGGGAGAAGCGTGTGTCTATGTGAGGAGCACAACTATTTTTTATGCTTTCAAATTCTTAATCCTGTTTGGAGCTGTCAGTGGGGGTTAATGGAAGCCTTGGATAGGAGAATTCCAATCTGGTTGGCAGATGGATAGGTTGGTTATAGCTGCATAACTATGTCTTGCCTGCAGGCACAATTCAGAACACTGTTAAAGCAATATAAAGTCTCTGTCAAGCTGAACCATTTGGATCAGTAGCAAGGAGAAATAATAATAAAAAAGGAGTTCATTTCTGGGCCTTGCGTGTTTATGCTAGTATGCAGAAACTGATTAATTGTCATCGTGTGCTGGTCTGCTATACCTCAGATTTCTACTTCTGGAGTAGATTTTGCATGCTAATATAATCATTCTCCCTCTTGAGACATTAGCAAATAATCAAATGAAAAACAGGATCATAATTTACTGAGATTCGGGCAATTCTCTATGCAAATTTGACTTGTTATTGCTGCTGCCTCGTTAATCTGAATGCCTTTGACAAACTCCTTTGATTTATGAACTCATGACAACTCCAATGTGTATATATTTTGCTAGATTGACATTATCATTAAGAGTGGGTGGACTGAGCTCACATGAATGGCTGATTTTATTCGCTGGTGTCTGCTGCTCAACAGCTGAGCATCTCCTTCTCACAAAGCCCCTGAGCGCCAGGCTCTTCCCATCTACCCATCCATTCATCATCTCGATGTTAATTGGCCCAGGCTTTAAGCAAATTTTCAACACGATTTAAAGGCACGATGACACTGATTACTGACCCTCTGCCATACGGTGCCTATTGATTAACCTGACAGAGATGATGAGCTTGAGGGAAACTAGGTGTGTGTGGACCTCGGGGAGGGGAAAAAAATAATATATTGTTTATGCAGGCAAAACACTTGTCTTTATCCCAAAGGCCAGAATTTGTGCTGCACTGGCCCTTAAAACACACTATTGCTTTAAACACCTGCATCCAATACAGAAAATGCTTGCTTGCTTGCTGTGGAAAAATGATTACAAATTTGATGTCATGTGCAGTCTGTATTTTAATCGAGTTCCCTGATAAATAGACCCCCTCAAGCCAATCAAGTCTCGCTCCAGCCATTGCGTGCGTATACATCAGTGAGAACAGAAGCCTGG